TTATTATTTGGAAATAGGGGGGGANAGAGTAAACGTNTATTGCATGTGTGTGTGTGTGTTCGTTTTACAATTATATTTTTCTTTATTAAAATATTTTAAAAACTATATACTCTTCTTTTTTAGAAACTTCGTAAAAATTNTATATACATATATATATACATATAATATGTGATACGATTTGTGACGGATTTATACTTCTGCACGCACGTCCAGTTATGAAACTTAATAAAGATAAAAATTAATTTGTCCAGCCCTGTAAGATGAGTTTACGCAGCTTTTAACGTAAACAAAGTTAGTTTTATTGGCCATTAAAATTTTAACTTTAAATAGTTTAGAAAAACTTTAATAGTTAGCTTAACTTAGTTTAACTTTTAATAGCTTAGAAAAAAAAGATTAATTTATTCAATCTAGATTTTCAGTATTTCAAATATTCAATATTCGATATTCAATGAATATCAGAACGGACACTGCTAAAAAGAAACGAATTTATACATAGAATTTATATATGATATATATAGAACATTATCGAATCAAGTTTCTTATCGTGTTATTACTTTTATTACTTTTATTACTTTATTACTTTTCGAGATAATTCGATCGACCTGAGCCGATTATCTACAGATAAATCTTAATCATTCTTACGCCGTTGATTTAATAGTCCAGCATTAGTCGAGTTGTTTAAGTGTAGAGTTGTTTAAGTTTAGTTAAGGAGAGGTGTGACAGTTGTCTTAATTCTCGGAGCAGGTATTTATACATGTAGATACGTGTTATGTATCAGGAACTTTGACCTTCAGTATAAACGTATAAGTCGTTGACGATAAACGTATAAATCGATACCACAAGATTTCAACGAGGATGGACTGCCTGATTTATTGCGTGACCGCACTGATAATATCCCTCAGCCTCTTCTATGCATACGCCAGATACAGGCTGTCCTATTGGAGTAGACGCGGGGTGAAAAGCCCCCCAACGCATCTGCTCTTCGGCAATTTCAGGGAATGTATTACCCTGAAGAAGTCGCCGGGTGAGATGATGCGCGATATCTACAACAGCGCCGACCCGGACGATCCCTATATCGGTTTTTACATCTTCCATAAGCCCTTGCTGCTCCTGCGGAATCACGACCTGATCAAACAGGTGATGATCAAGGACTTCGACGTCTTCCCGAATCGGCGATTCGGCTCGGGCATCGAGAGGGACTCGGTGGGCCTGGACAGTATCCTGTCCATGAAACAGCCCAGATGGAGATACGTGAGAAAGAAGCTTACTCCGGTCCTGACCGGGCAGAAACTGAAGAATATGATACCGCTTATGGTGGAGTGCGGAAAGCCCATGTTGAACTTCATCGAGAAACTGCCGACGGACGAGGCCGGCTGGAGTGAGTACGAGTTGAAGGACATCAGTAGCCGTTACAGCACCGACGTTTTGGCTTCCCTGGCATTTGGCGTTGGCATAAATTCGTTCGACGAGAAAAAAACAGCCTTCTGGAAAAACGGTGCCATTTATTAGATAAATACCAGAGCGGACAAAAGAAACACAAAATTTAAAATAAAAACGTAGAAACTTAATTCAATTATTTTAATAACTTTATTTTAATTACTCACAAAGAAATTTTTCCGTTTTTTTGACCCACCCTGTATATAATTGCGCATGTAGGATTATAAATTACGTAAGTTTATGCATTTGCAGGTACAAAGATCTTCAGAGGTCTGATGCGTGGCATTGCGTTTATTATCCTTTTCTTCATTCCCGAATGGGACATCTTGATCGCGCCGTTCATTAAAAAGCCGGCGAATTATTTGCGCGAGATTTTCTGGGACGCCATGAACACCAGAGAAAAGCTGGCGTTTAAGAGAGGAGACATGATAGATTCCATGTTGGCGCTCAAGAATGGAGAACAAAGTCCCATTTACAGTAAAGATTCAATCTGTAAAATTTAAATAATTATCGCGTAACGTCTGTACATAAATACTTTGCTATTAATATCGTAAATATATTTTCTCAGTATATTTCTACTGCATCGAACTCAAGAAGTATTAAGAGAATTGTAGAGAGAATTGAGAAACTCGTTAATATTAATCGTATCATTATTAATGTCGTAGAGTTCGAGAGCGATGCTTTACTGGCGCATCCATCCAGCTTTTACATCGCCGGATTTGAAGCATCTGCGACCACGATCGCCTTTGTCTTGTACGATCTGGCGCGTCATCCGGAGCACCAAGAGACTCTATATAACGAGATACAAACGTATCTATCGGGAAAAGAATTGACCATGGATCTGATCAGTGAACTACCCTTCTTGGATTATGTGGTAGCTGAATCGCTGAGGCTGCATCCTCCTCTACCCGTCACTGATAGAATAGCCACTAAGAATTACGAGGTGATGAACTGGGCAGCTTTATATATGTTTCCTTGACTTCCTTACATAAAAAGATATGACTACGTCGTATATAAAATATTATTTTTAGTTGCCAGGTACTGGGTTAATAATCGAGAAGGATGTTCCGGTGTATGTCGCTATAAATGCATCGAATCAAGATCCCAAATACTTTTCCAAGCCACAAGACTTTATTCCATCGAGAGCAAAGACGGAGGATAAAAAGTTTTACGAATCATTGGCATTTGGTATCGGACCTCGAGCGTGTATAGGTATAAAATATTCATGTAACTCGAAAAATACGCCACTATTTTTTTTATATATTATTGCAATTTGTATTGAATTTTAGGACAGAGATTGGCCCTATTAATTGTAAAAGTGGTGCTAATTACGATCCTCTCAAATTACACCATGTCTTATGAAAATAAAAAACGTTCAAATGACAGTGACGCTATTCACGTATTCACGTATGCGGCTGACGGTCTGTATGTACAATTTAAGAAACGTAATTAAGCATTTATTGAAAACTAACATAGTGTATGTTACTTAAGTTTTATTTATCCGATTTAATTCTCAAATAATGTTTAAAAAATTAGGGTAGAAAAAATATTTAAAAAAAAGCACAAAGTATTACCGCAAGATTGTATATTTACAAATGTATAACAGAATATATCTCTTTAAATAGTAAAATACCTTAGATTCGTTGAAACTAATTTAGTATTACGCACATGTCTTTTATAAGCACGGATGAAAGATGTACGATTTCTATATTCAGGTAACTATGCATTATATAAAATATTCGTTGCACACGAATTTTAACAGTGTAGGTCATGTATTCATATTTGTCATATTATTTTTGCTCTTTCCTAAGGTGTACTTAATTATATACTCGATCTGCCGTGATTTCCCGTTTGCACAATTTTATTTATGCAAACAAAACCACGCGAAAAAATTAAATTAAATTAGATTATATTAGATTATATCGCGCAAGTAATGCGTGCTAATACACTCTCACAAGAGACATACAATGTATTCTTGTGTATGTGCATGTATTATGTACTATACTATGTAAAATATATACTATATTGCGAGGTCAACAGTCTTGTACTGTTAACATTTAAGAGGACAGATAGATTCTGAAAAATATTTTTGAACACTTCTTTGTCACGCGTGACAAGATTTGCAATTATGTGTTGCAACAAGTTAAAGTTTTGCTTAAAGTTTCGTTTCGTGTTTCACTCGTGTTCTGAGTAACTGACCCGATCGTAAGACACCATGAGAATTGTTCGAGTAACAATTGTTAGACGTAACGTTAGACGCGCCGCACTCTCCATTAGGATCATCGTTCTCCTCGTCATTTTCGTATACGTGACGCCTCTGCAAGATCTCGTCGTAATTATGACCGTGATTGGCCTTCGTTTGCATTTGCGCCTCCGAGTCCGTCTCGTCCTCGTTATCGGCGCTGTCTACGTCGCCTAAAAAAAAATTTCGGTTTTGGTAAAAATGTGGTCCTCTAAAAACTCTAAATTAATTAATTTGAGCTGTCTTATGAAGTTGTCTTATAAAAATATCTGCAATGTACAGATTTTTTTTTATACATCGTATGTAATAGATTATAGATAGTATAGATTATCAATCGCTATAGACAAGAAGTAATATTCACCGTCGGAGCTATTGGTGGACGGCAAATAAAAGCGCGAAGAGGACATTTTGTTATTTCCCACGCGACGCTCTCGTTCTCTCGCGGCGCTGTTAGGATTGTACTTGAACTCGCGGGGCAGCGTGTAACTCCTGGGTAACGAGACCTGGCTACCCTCCATGTCGCTGACCTCCGCCTCTCCGTCGCCCTCGCCTTTGGAACTCTCTTCGACGCCGTTCTGATTCGCGTGCAATCTGACGGAAATGGAATTTAAATCAATTCTCATCCAAATTCGATCGCTTTGGGCGTTTAATCGTGCCTCTGTTACCTGTGACCGAGATGTCCAGGCGGTGACCAGTGGGGATAATGATGCGGAAGGCATCGCGGCGCTAGTAATATCTCCGGCGTGTCCGCCCGTTCTCGTTGGGGCGCCGCTCTCCACAGATTCGAGGTATGCGAGTTGGGATAGTACGGGGAGGAGGGCGGCGGGGGTAGGAGGCAATGCATTTTCACGGGCGGCCAGGACGATAACGCGCTGCCGCCGTTATGCTCGGAGAAGGACGGCGGAGACGTGAACAACGGGGAGCTCGGGGAGGTGTGCAGTTTCGTGTTCGGCGGTGGTTGCTGATTGGACGCGGACGGGGAGGACGAGAAAGAGGACGTGGAGGCGGAAGGAGGTGGGAACAGCTTGCCCTCCTTGATCTCCTCCTGTATCGCTCGCAATTCGCGCAGCTGCTGTTGCTTCTTCTCCTTCAGTTTCTCGCGTATTAACGTGACGTTCAACGAGCCGCCGATCGCCATGTCAGTCTCGTCTTTGCGCTCGTTGGAGGCATCGTTCTGCATCGGGAGATTAAATTACATTGTAACAGCAATCGTGTCGCAATGGCTAGCAAAATGGATTTATCACAAATACCTACCTGTACTATATTAGACAGGGGCTTCTTCCAAAACGGAATCAATTGCCGCGATCCGTTGCCCATGTTGAGCCACTGCTTCGAGTCGCCTATCGCCGCCACGGAATTCAACACCGCGCCCGTCTGCGATTGCGGCGGCGGCGGCGGCACGAAGCTGGTCGGCTTCTTCTTCTTGCGATTCGGATTTACGACAGTCGGATTCGCGAAACGGCAATTGAACACGCCCGGTATGCCGCCGTTACTTAATTTAACTTTCCTCATGCCGATGCTAATGTTGACCTTCTTGCCCTCGTTGTAATCTATTTGCTTCTCTTCCGCATTGTCCTGAAAATTGAAAACAATTGTATAGCAATTGTTTTTGTTTGCATAATTTTTCATGTGTAGCAATGCCTCCGAGGAAAGAAATTTGTCTCGTATCGTACCTGATTGGACAGCGTAGTGAGATTCGAACCAGTCATTCTCCCACCAGCCTCGTACCTCAATCTTCTCACGTGGAAAAATCTGTAACAAAAGAGAAAAGTGCAATTCAACTAATAATAAATATTAATCATATATAATACTTGTACGTAAATATTAATCAGTGTTAGTAAAACTGAATAAGATATCGCGCTCACCTATAATAAAGACCCATGAAAAACATGCCACCGAAAAATAAGGCTAGCAGAATAAGCACTAGAGTAACTGGATGTAGATGATGCTGGTGATGAGACAAAAGATCGGCACGATTCACACCAGCTATCCACACGCCGATGAGTAAACTGTTCTCCAAGAACATTACAGTGTAAAATATCACCTGGAAAAGTAAAAACGCATAAAACGGCTTTAGCAATTAGCATAAAACAGATTGTGTAAAAATCCTTAGTGCCTGCTCGCTACTAACCATTTTTTGACGATGATTCGTCTCATGTAGATTAACGTATGCGAATATATATACAAAAGCGAGGAGGGAAGCGAGGAAGGTCTTCCTAAGAAGAGGGAGACGCTCGCCGCCGTGGAAGAGTCCGTCCGGCGTGAGCAATAACCACGTCAGCATGGACAGCCAGTGGAGGGCCATCACGATCAGCAGCCACTGTCCGCCGTACAGCGAGGCGTACGCGACCAGTGCCCCGACGCGGGCGCTCACTGTCCCCAGGCGCCAGAACAATTGCGCCAGCACCCCCAGCCATGTTAGCACTAAACGTTCTAGATTACGCAGACGCGCCGCGCCCTTGCTGAAACTGGCGACCGCCCAGCACACGCTCCACAGGGACAATCCCGCCGACACGAGCGTCAGCTCCTCCAATTTACCGCCGCCCTTGCCCTCGCTCTCCTTCAGTTTCCCGACTTCTGTCTCGTCGCCGTCGGTAGCGCCGAATAAGACGTACAGCTGCAGAAGTAGCATTGGAGCGGCCTCACAGAATGCGTGTATCAGCCGTAATACACAGAGCTCCCGTACCTGAGGAACGATGAGACTGAATGATGAAACGGAATGGGACGGCGGGAGGATATTTCTCTTTCCAAAATTATACGTACCTCGTGCTTCACGTAAGTTAAATTGACTGGGATAAATAACTTGAAGTATCTCCATAGTACACCGACTTGGGTGGAGTGGAGTAGCAGAACACAGCCTACGGTCCAGTTGCCAATTCTCTTCACTGGATTTAAGTGACAGTTGTTTGATGCGTTTGTTAATTTACCTCTAGCTCCCCAGAGATACCATCGCAAACTAACGATCTGCAAAAGAAAGTAATTATATAGTATATAATCGCGACGAATAACGATGTAGAATCTATTCCTTCAGATACAAACCTGAGAAATCAACAAGGAAGTCGCTATAAAAGTGACGCTTAGGGGAAACAGTATGGGTGGTGCTGTTGCTTGATGGGCAAGGGCGTATACCATCGCAAAATCGAAGACAACATCGCAGAAATAGGATGCTAATGAAATAATGTTAAATAGTACATCACACAGAGGCAAGAATTCGTGCTGATGTTGTGGTTGATGACACTGGGCCATAATGGGCTTTTATCGCCCATTTGGAAGGTTTAGCAATTTTTTATTTCACTTTTACCAATCTCTGCTCTTGCTGCAAATAAAATATAGTTTACTAAATTATCATGATAATAAATAAAAAAGAAAAAAGAAAAAATTATATATATATATTACTTTCTGTCAAATAAATAAATATATTTTGTTAATTAATTGTCTTTTATAACTGGAGCTAATATTTTCATAGATGAAAAAATATTAGCTTCAGTTATAAAAGACAAATTAAGAATTAAACAATTTTTAAATGTTTTTTTATTTCTGTCATCTTTAAGTATTATTTCTCATTTTTAATTTTATACATTAGATATAATATTCCTTTCTTATAATTACCCGCCTCATATAATTTAAATCTCATAAAACATCCTTCTTATACAATTAAAAATTAATGCATCTCTCAATAATTTTAAATATATAAAATGGAAAAGAGAGAGCGTGCATTTTTTTTACAAGTCGTAAGCACAATGGAAATTACCAATAGGAATTTGACGCTAGGACGGCTACAAACAAGCCACGACGTTCGATGTCACACAAACGGGCTCATCCGTCCGTTATGCGCCGGGGTCAAACTGAACGTGCGCCCTCGCGACGTCGCGGGATCCGCGCGTTCGCCCTGCGCCCGCATTCAAAACGCACCTCACGGGGCACCTCGCACTCGCGACGTCGGGACGCGCGACGGACGGATTTTTTTAAAGGCCAGCGCAACGAGGCGGACGCGCAACAATGTCGGCGCGTATAGCGCAGCGTGGGATCGCGCGCTCGCTCAGCGCATTCCGCGCGTGTCATTGACGAGAGCGGCGATCACAAAAATCACTCTCCCGATCCGGACGCTGCCGCCGCAGCCGCCGTCGCCGCCACCACCGCCGCTCGCGGGGAAGCTGGATCAGCGGCTTTGGTATGCGTGGAATTCGCCGCAGAGCACACGTTTAGAGAACGCGCGTTTCCACCTGGAGCGCCGCTCCCTCCTCCTCCGCCTCTTCCCTCTCCTCCTCCTCCTCCTCCTCCTCCTGCCGCTATTCGGCTGCCGATCCCGGTCGTCGTCCGCCGTTCCCTAAGACTCGTCGCCGTCGTCGTCGTAGCGTCTCGCGCACGTTCGCGCGCTGCATCTTTCGCGGGGATATACCACGGAGTATCCCGGCGCCAAGGCGAGAGGAGAACGCGCGTACGACGTCGTCCCACGCATACCGATCCGCCGATCTACCTGTTGATTCAGTGCAATTCAATGCGGCTGTCTCACGCGTACGCACCGCTCGCTCTTCTTCTCTCGGCTCCGTCCTGCTCCTTTCTCTTTCTCTTTCGCTCGCTCGCGTGCAGCCTGTCGTAAACACACCTGGCGCCGCCGGTGAGGAACGCGAGAGCGAGCCTCACCTTAGGCGGCCCGTACGCGGAGATTTTTTCCGGTTATTCTTCCTCCCGCGTACCGATCGCCTCGATACCGCGAGCGCTGATGCGCGAGCTCGGGATGCCTCGCTTCGTCGCACGATCCCGCGTCACGGCGCTCCTCACCGGTATGCACATGTGTAATTCTTAGTAAGAACAAAAATTCACAGATAAACATTTATTAATGTACTTGCGAAAATACGGAATAATTCTTTTCGATATACACATATATAAATACATATAATATGTAATTATATATATGTATATTTATATTTATATATATAACATGATATGTACAAGCCTATATATTATGTAAAAATTTTGTGCGTTGCCACTGCCCCTATGTACATAAGTTATAGTTGCCACACATGTATACAAAATCGTATATAAAAATCTTATATTAACATTCTATATTATAAAATTATTAAAGATTTGTAATCACAACTCAACAAGAAGCCTCCAAAAATTATGTATATACTCACAATAATTATGTATATTATGTATATAAATTATGTATACTTAGCGTTTTATCATTTGTGCGACTCTCTCATTAATATTTAAATTAAAGTGTTTTAAGTCTTGTAGCGGACATTAAACAGTTAAAGAATAATTTCGTTCTTGTAGTTTCTCGTAAGTTCCTTATGCGGTAGAACGATCGAGTTTAGTATAATTTTTTCCGCAGCCAGGCTCACGCTGGTACCTGAAATAAATTTAATAACATAATATAATAACACATAATACAAAAAAAAGACGCGCATAATTACATTTGCATAGAAATAATTTTTGTATAATTTATTTATTTACCGAGTATCGTGATGGAAGGATTCAGCTTGCCATTGATATTAAACAGCGGCAGATTATCCATTTTTGCGAATGGCTTGTTGGGATTGGGGTCGCACGGAGTCCCCTCGACGCGCGACCATTCGCCCACGATGGTGCTCGTCCCCACGATGCTGTGTAGAACAAGGGAATGGGCCTGTATGTGTGCCTTATCCAACACGATGGCCTCTCGGATTCTCACGCCAGGCCCGATCATCGTGTACGGGCCTATACTCACGTTCGGACCTAGCTGCGGGGAATAGAAATTTCACGTGTCAACGGACGGAGCGAGTGTTTGCGAACGATATGCGGGAAAATTCATCCCTCCGTACCACAGAAGTCGGATGTACAGAGGCCGACTCGTGAATGTACACGTCTCCTATAATGTGGCAGGAATTCTTGCTCGTGGAGGCAAGGCGCTCCGGCTGCTTCTGCTTGTAGAGGGCCAGGTAGTGTCGATTGGCGTATATCGCGGAGCCCGCGGTCTTCACCTGCGACCACCATCTGAGCACGGGCAAAGCGAACAGCCGGCCGGATCCCGCTAGGCGCGTCAGTATGTCCTGCTCGAACGAAATGTGCGCCGGATCTCTACCGTTGCAGCACAACTGCCTGCGGACCCAATGGCAAAATAAGTAAGAGAAAGAGAACCGCTCGTCCTCTTACGCTGTACTCAAAGCGTGTCCACACACGAGGAGAACTTACATTATATTATCTTGCTGCTGGTTCGCGTAGAAGACATCCGCCATGGTTTGAAAGACGTCTACCGACGCGAGATATATTCCGCAGTTGATGAGAGTCGACACGAACGTCGAAGGCTTCTCCACGTAATGCGCCACCTCGCCCTCCTTCCCCAGGACCATACATCCGTAGTTGAGCGATTGCTGCCGGGTCGCCTCCGTCGCCATGATCGTGAGCAGTGCCTTCTTACTTACGTGAAACTCCACCATCTCTTGCAGTGGGAAGTCGGCGCAGACGTCTCCGTTCATAACGAAGAAATACGTCGTCGTGCCGCCGTGTACCGCCGAACGAATCTGATCGCGGAAGTGGTACATGCCACCCGCTGTCCCGAGAGGCGTGAACTCCTGTAGGTACCGTATGTCTAGGTGATAGGTACGCGACATCTCCTGTACAAACTGAGCCAGATCTTTCTCGGGATACGCCCCAATTATCAGCACTTCGCAGAGATCCCGCACTTTTTTACAGGCTTCAATGTGATGCTGTATCATGGGTAATCCGGCCACTGGAAACAGCGGCTTTGGAATGTCCAGGGATAGAGGTCTGAATCTGGTCCCTGCAAAGAGACAAATGCAGCTTAATAACGAGGCACTAAGATAAAGTCTGCGTTCGAAGAATATCTATATTAAAATTTTGACAACGTATAATTATAAATATTATACATTTAATAAATACGTGCAGGGTAAATTAATAAAAGAGGTCTACTGATAATGTCGATACTGATAACAATCCACAAATGACATAATCCAACAGCAACGTAAAAACATCATGTTCGTACAAGTCAAATTATTACACTATCTTGAAATATACATAATAAAAATGCATAATTATATAAATATATTGTATATATAATTGTGTGTAATTTAAATATCAAACTTGAAAATTCTGCAATTGTCAGTTTCAATTACTGTTGATTAGTTCACTCAATTAAATGTGATCAACACATACCCTTTAAAGGCCCTCCGATTAAGATAACAGCCTTCAACCTGACAACTGACATTGCACAAGTTTAACAATTGCCCCTTCTGTCTTAAATATAAATTCCAAAATATTCCTCGCCAGAGGCAGCAGCCAGCAGCGATCATCCGAGTCCTCCGGGACAGCGAGGGGAACTAACGCTAATCGCACCGCGCAGACATGTTGCGTACACGTGTAGACGTGTCATCGGCGTAGCGCGTTTCGATAAATCGACTTGAGCGACAGTATCTTGAGGAACATCTTTAGATAAGCGGCAATTTCCCTCAGGGAAGTCGCCTTCCGCGACTGTCAAACGTCGACGTCGAATTCAGCCTGTCAACAACAAGGCTAGGACAACCGGCAGATGCTACCGCATACTAGAGACAACTAGAGGGGAATTTGCCGAGATTAATCGAGACGCGGCACGATTCAACGGCGACGTCGGAAGGTCACGCTGGCCACGTTAAAACGTGCCGGCGGCCGCTTCGAATCTTGGCTCTCTCACACCGTCCGTAACCTATCCTGCCCTCGTCCTAATCTCGATATTATAATTCGATATTATTATCTTGGATAATCTGTGGATATTATCTCTCGGTTCCTCGCGAGCAGTTCGCAAACAGCCGACCGACTCTCGTTTCCTTCGAGATAAACAGCGATCAGCTGACACGGCGATGGTCTCGCGTGAAGTATGCTCCGTACATGAATTTGGCTCCGGTTTCCGCATCTTTTCTCGATCGATCAGGTTCCTCTTTCCACCGCCCGAAAATCAATGTGAGAGACAACTCGATTGGTCGCAGCGAGGGACCACATTTTATTACGCGAAGATTCAACCCGCTCTCGTGACTAAAAATTATTAATCTCTTGCCGCAAAAAGGATTTTCAAAATTGTGAATATCTAAATATTCGCGGATATCGCGGTCACCCGTGGAACGAATAAACAGCAAGAGGGGAAGCAAGAGAAGAGATATTAGCGCAAAAATTCGACGGAAATGTTTTGGCTATTTATACAATTATTAATATTGAAAATATATTTAAAATAATTATTTATTTTCAATTACTTTCAAAATTCTTCAATACAAGACATGAACAATCTTAAACAGAAAAACTTTGTTTAACTTATTTATGTCGGTTAACGTAATGTAAAATAATTAAAATTATTTGGATAACTTTTTTAATTAGCCCCGATCTTATAGGTGTAGTAAGCCTAAAAGCCGTAAGAAATTGTCCAATCACGGCAGATCGTTCTCCACATATTTGACCATGATTGGACAATTTTTCACGGCACGAGGCAAACTATTGCAAGTCCGTGGCTTACATTTCAAAGATCTTGATACAAAATACGAACAATTGCAAATTGTTCAGAAAATCATTCAACTGTCGGCTGTAAATTCATACGAATCGCCATATTGTTGATTGGCGACGCGTGCACGCGCGTGTCGTCCAATAGCAGCGCGAGTAGGCGTAGCGTTGCCAGCCGTGCTGTCTAGGGGAAATCAATCTAGAGAATTGTCTTCGTTGCGTTGGTCGCCGTTGAAGGGGCAGCGGGGGAGAGAAATGGGGATCGCAGAGAGCGAAGGGAAGGTTTATTTCTCGCGGCCAAGCTTTCCTCGTATTTTCCGTCCTTTCCTTTTTTCGTCTCAACGTCTAAATATACACGCCCGTTTCGTTTCGTAGTGCAGGAGGCGCGACATGGCGCAGTTGCGGAGAGCGGATTTGGATAAAGAAAAAAAAAAGGAAGCGGGCGTGCGATCGCAGGATCTCCGTCGCGCGGAGCCGAGGCGGATCTCGTACGCTTGGCGCGAAAACTCGTCGGCGCTTCGGTTCGGCGAAGGGCGCCGGACGTAGCCGGGGACGGAGAAGGGGGACAGGGCGAGGAGGGCGCGTGCGATCCGACTTCGGTAGTTCGGTTCTCGCCGCACGGACGCATTCGAGCGAGGGCCAGCGCAGCGCGCCGATGGTAGCGTGAACCGCTCGCGTCGCCGCCGCCGCCGCCGACGTCGAGCGAGGGATTCGGACTCTTTTTTTGGTGCGCGCGACTCTCCGACCCGCACGCGTATACCGCGAACGGGGTAGTGCGAAGGGGACACACACCGTGGCGAGATCGTGCGTACGTAAAGTAATATAAGTGCGTGCGTGCGTTGCGCTGCGCCGCGCGAGCTCTGTGTAAATTCGCACTCGGGCGAAAGAAAGAGGGAGCGCGACGTGGTGGAGGTTGACGCGGAAAGGGGAGAGAAGAGCGAGGGCAAGAAGCGGAGGAAGAGAAAGACACACACACACACAACGGCTTGTGCGTTCCGCGACGAAGCGCAACATCGCGATCACAGAGAGGAAACGACCGAAGTTCGGTGCGGACGAGCGGACGGACGGACACACGGACCGAGACGAGACGAGACGGGACGGGACGCGTGACGTGACGTTACGTTACGTTGAGAACGTGTCGCTCGTTCGCGCCTCGTCGTCGTCGTCGTCGTCGCTCGTCGACTCTCGAAACAGTGCTGTCGCCGCTTCGGAGAGGAGCGTCGCTACATAGTTCACACCTCGCCGCGTCCCTGGCCCGCTCCCGCCTCCCGACGCGACGGGGAGACACACACAACACGGATCCGGGGTTGCCGCTGCCAGGGTTGTCGCCGAAGATCGGAGCACCGGGACGTGCTGACCACCTGCCGGGAAGCATGGAAATATCCAAGAGCCTCGAGGAGGAGATCAGATCTGTGCAACAGAAACTGCAGGGAGCGATACTCAATCATAAGGTGAGAGAAAAAAAGCGAGAGTGCGAAAAAGAGAGAGAAACATGAGAGGGAGTGTGAGAGAGAAAGAAAGAGAGAGAGAGAGAGTGATTGCGATGCTGCGTGTGCGATAGCGATCGAGGGCAATCGAGGGACGGAGTACGGACTGTGTAGGGCTCAAGAGGGGGGGGGGGCAAGAAAGCACGGCGAAGGTGGCCTCCTCCTCCTCCTCGCGACACGCATATCCTTGGGAGATCGACGGGGAAGCTTTTATTTTTCTCCTCTCGCACGCGCGAGGGGTTACACGAGGACGCACGAGGAGGAGCGGGCCGAGTCGCGAAGGTCCCTCCAATGCTCGATACGATAGATCGATCGATCGCACGGGACAAGTCGAACGGTAGATCCGCGTCAAGAGCGTCTTTATGCGGCTAACTTTTGAGCGCGCGTGCGCACACGCGCGCGCACGTGAAGGATTTTTGGAAATCGCAAGTTTTGCCCCGAGAAGGGCGGAGGAGAAAAGTGTGTACGAAAGTCGAAAGTTCCATTTATGGCCGAGCGTATCCGCTCCTCCTCTCCCGCTCGGCATCTCCGTCAGACGCCCTCTCTCTCTCTCCCTCTTTCTCCTCCGTATGCACATTGCGCGCCTCGAGAATGGTCGAGAAATTCGGCGCGCGGGATCGAGTTACTAATATTTTTTTTGCGATGCGATCTAATCAGCGTTTCGCGAAACGTAACTCGAGAACTCGCTATCGAGAACTTGTTGATCGGTTTTCCGCAGCGCGAAACGCGAGAGCGGGATGGATTTCTTCGCGCCGAGCATCTCCGCGCGCGTACCACCATCTTTATATAAATATACCGATACCTTTGTAGATATTCCTTCGCAGTCTCTTTGTACCGCCGCGCCGCGAGCGCGCTCGGCTCGGCCGGGGATCGCCCGCCCGGCGGGCGAAGGTGACTTTCGCTCTCTCTTTCTCGATCGCTCGCGACCGCGTTGGCGCAACACTTGAGCGCGAGGCGCCGAGAGCGAGAGGATCTTCCAATTTAATTCATCATATCTCGTCGAGCGCTCCAAAAGTTCGCGCCGTCCGTTCGATTCGCAGGAGGCTAACACTCCGCACGGCGGACAATCGATACCCCCTGAATTATCCGGCCGCGCTCCTCGTCGTTTTTCCGCGAGGCTGAGAAGGATCTCCCTCTCGGCGCGGCGATGCGCGACGCAGCCGCACGTTCGACAAACTTTCGCGTCGGTCTTCCTTAGCTTAACCCGGGAAACAGTCACCTGAGCGTGATTTTTGCACCTCAGTAGCGAGAAAATGAAGCTGGATAATTTCCTTTACTCGAGAATCTGTATCTATTTTTTTTTATTTCTCCTTATTTTTTAAAAGATAATGTGTAAATCTGTATGTCTATATATTTACAAATTGTAGGACAATCAATAATGTACAATACGTAATTAATAGTGATGATTTTTAATTATGAGACGTAAAAATCATCCCAGGTGATTCGCAATTTACGCAAGAAACTAAGGTGGCTGTTCCTGTATAGTTCAAGTATATCATCGGTTCTTTAAGATCTTTCTCTCTCTCTCTCTCATAGATCTTGTAGATTTTGTAGATCCCAAAGAGAAAACGAAATAGTATAGCACTCGTCGATAAGAGGCAATAATTGCTCTACGCCAAACGCGATTTATATAATCGAAATACTATTATGTAAACTATATAAGTGCATACATAGTTGGTGGGGACGACAGGTGCAAGTCAATACTTGCGACGCGAAGCTTCACGGAGTCGTCGAGTCCACGCTTGATTTACTTTTACCGCGAGAACGTTGACAAGGTCGTTCTCTCGTCGACTTTTGCGCGCGTCGCAGCGAGTCCCGGCCGAGAGTTTGCCTCGCGGAACCGACGAATTGCTCGCGTCGATAATTGTGCCGTGATAGAACGAAAGAACTTGGTCTTTTTGCGCGCCAGAAGAAAAATGATAAAAGTCACACTTACTTACTAAGAGAAACTCTTTTTACTCTCGATGAAATTACCGTTACAACTACAATCTACATAATTGCAAATATTAATTCTGAACATTCGCATTGTAAGAATTTTGCTTTCTAGAAATGCGAGGAACATCAGTTGTAAATATATAATTGGAAATACAATAATTGAGAACATATAACATACATTTTTTACATAATATATAATATGTAAATGTATGTCAAGTGTTTAAATCGCGATAATCGCTTCCTGAAGAACAGCGAAGAAAATTAAATCGCTACGAATTAACGGGATGTTAAATGCGAGATTTTAATTTGCATCTTTATTAATTAAATGGGCAGTGAGAGAAAGAAAGAGAGAAAGGGAGAGAGCGTAATGGCGCATCGTGCTCCAGTTGGCCGTACACATTGGCATACTACTGCTAAATTATTTATCTCCTGCTCGGTCCCCTGCATTATTACGCCCGTAGTCATTATATAATAGTACACTAAATGATTTTTTTCTTATCAATGACTGATTCATCTTTCTCGTTAAATTGCAGATATACGTGGACAGGCTGAAGGATGACCCAAATGTGAGTATCGTTACATTCATTATCCAATATGCGATATCGTTGCACGGCGATACATTGTCATCCAATTACGTTAATTATATTAATGTATTATACAATACATTATCATTTTATACTTTAGAACATAAAACTCTTTATCTGTCGCTAATACATTAAATGTTTTATCAATACATTAACGTCCGACTTTGTGAAACGTTATAAATATGTAACGCCGTGCTGATTAATTTCTATGCTGCGAGTTTACGGCTCGATTTATACGATTTATTTCGATCTACGGCTGAATTCGAGATTCAGAGAACAGTCGATACGGTGAGAGAGAGAGAGAGACTTTGCATGAGTCTGTGTGCGATGCTTCTGGAATCTCCGTAAGTTACTCCGCGCACAACAAACTTCGGCCAGACATTTCGTCTCGCGGCAGTTAGAGATGTTATTTATCTATATTACAGAAAACTTTTCCGTTATACGTGTTCAAAATCGAATTATTAATTCGGTTATAATACGAGCGCAATTATCCCAAAGAGAAAATAACTCTTAACAACGTGTAACTTCATTATCGAGTATTGATTTCTTATTAGCGATTTTAAATCAACTTTTCGTGATTGAATCATCTCGTCGTTTGCCGACAATGGTACCGAATGCGCAGAAACGTATCAATATCACACAATTATTCCGAGCAATATTCCACAAAGACTTCGATGCACGCAAGTCGCCCCAATTCCGATGGTCGCGTGGTTTCCAGTTTGGATGTGTCGACCGTACAATCCGATATACAATCACGAATTGCGTTCTTGTTACAGAACCCAGACATTCTCGTGCAGATAAAAAAAATCCAGGTGCACATCGTCTCGTTGGGAAAATGCCAGGTAAGCGCGGACAATTGATTTTTCTTTCGTGCCGCATGCATGTAGTGATTCGCGATGCCGCGTACATATATATACGTCGACTTTTCTCAAGTTCCCATTACGAGAGTTCCCCTGCAATTTCACAATCAATCTCTTGGCCGGTCGATCGTGCGATTTTGAACATGAAAATACGTCCAGAGTTAAACGCGTTCGCAATGATTAAGAATGATTGCGCCTTGAAGACCGATAATTCCTTTTCTTTGTATATATACATATATATATATATATATGTTAGATATAAAACTCCCCCAAAAAAGTTGCAGTTCTGTATAAGTTATTATCGATCAAGGCTATTATTGATCCGAGGTGTTGGCTGCTGCATATAGCAAAAACTTTGGCATGCTCAACTTTTGCAAAGTACGAAAAGTCTTATCGTGCCACAATATCATTCGCGTGGTACTGACTGTAAAAACTGACTAGATATATCGATCATGTGTTACAACTTGGCTGTTACGGCCCTAGTTAAGAGAATCCTAAATGGAGAAGGAAGAGCGTGAAATAAAATTTGTTAGCTCTATTATTTCAAGATTAAGCGCAAGCGGGTAAGGTTTATCGCTCTTCTTGTACGCGTAGCCGTGCCTTGCCTCTCTCATCCCTTTCCAATGCGACGCTCTCTCTCTTTTCTTCGACGGTGTTGATAACAAGCAAGATAAATAGTCGGGATATATAATGGACGGGGGATAGACGCGCGTGGGGGATGATACGCGGCAGAGGCTGTGCGAGAGTGGGAAAGCGCGATGCGACCATGAGGGGAGGGGGGGGGGGGTCGCGGGGGGTGAGCGGACGAGGGAGGAAGGGAGGCGACAATTCAGAAAGAAGAAGCGAGAGCGACTTGGAGCGAAGGAGAGAAGAAGCCGGGAGAGAGCAGAGAGACGGAGCGGTTCAAAATCAATAAAATGTCCTGCGAAAACGTTTTGGGCTCTTTACAAAATCTCCGCGTCTTCTTTCATTCGTTTACAGCCTCTTGCCCGACTTCTCCGCCCCGCTCTCGCCCAGCTTCGCGAGCGTTTTTCCTGTTTATATATTCTCCAGGCAATTTTTTTTCCCAATGATTATCCGTTTCTCGTTTACTTCAAAAGTGGCGGAAACTTTCCTGAGCTTTGCGAAAGTTAGCTTGTGAATATATATAAGCATATATACAGAGAAACGAATTTTCTTCATAATTTTAATCCCACAATTATGCATTAACATTCTGTTTCGTCGCAACATTAATATCTATTTGTTACAAAAATTTAATCTATTAATTAAATCTATTTGTTATAAAAATTACATAACAATTGTGAATGTTTGCATGTGTGCCTATTAACTAAAAAAAGTGTAATGGTGTTTGCCGTTCATACAAGCTATTTCTAAGGATCTCTTTTAGAAATCACCGATATTAAGTAACGCTACGATGCGCTATATATATCTCTGGTTGTTAATACACAGAAACAGGTCGTGCAGCAGCTGCGCAAAGAGGTGAACGCGTTCATGGCGGACAACGCGAACGGATCGAAAGTTTCTATCAACCTACAATCACTCCTCGGACGGCTCGGACTGAACAACAACAATCACATTACGAACAATAATGAGACGAAGCATGAGGCCGCCAATGGTTTCGAGACGAAGCCTTCGAAGGAGGACTACGAAGAAGTTGTCAGAAATGGCGATGTTCACCATTCGCGCCCGCAAGATAACGATTGCGCCAAGTAAGCTTGTCCCTGAAAAAAAAATTAATTAATTAAGAAGTCCCATTTAATTACAATATATTGACATTCATGCAAAGTTACCTTATACGAAACAGTCCACTATTTGAAACACATGCAACAAAGAATTTGGAATTTTTTTCAATTGGAAGTCTCTACAGGCTACGTCCCAGCTCGGTGGAAACTGTCTCCGGCGAGGACGACGTCGTTGAGGTGTCGTTGGACGAAAATTCCGACGATAAGCAGGAGGAGGAGCAGAAGGAGCGCAGCGTCGAATCGTCCGAGAAGTACAACTACCTGAATTGCCTCGGGCTCATTACCAAGTCCAAATGTATGGAGCTGCAGAACAGGAGGGTGGAAAGAAAGCGACGCAGCACGGCGAATCCGCAGTTCGTGTACTCCATGTTCGAGCAACCATCTGTAAGTAACCATCTGTTAGTGCTTTTTTTATTTTTATATCTTCTTACATGAAACCTGGATTGCTGAAGTGGATTATCTTATATATTCCTTCAACTCTCTGCTTACAAAACTAAGGCATACATATGTAAGAGTTCGAACCCGGAATCCGCTGACTATTAGTTAACCGTTTTATACGAAGCCATATACCATCTCTATTCTTTTGTTTGTACATATAGAGTCTTGCCTTGAACACTAAAGCTAGCAGCATGGCCTTTGCGAACATAATACGCAAAGATAAATTGAGCTATCTACATGAATTTTAAAAGTGAATTGAAGACGCTTTGAATGGGTACCTTCTCTACAATTTGACATCGTATCGTTGAGTCTTGTTAAACGGCCGGCACTTTGACGCATGTATTTTAGAAACGGAAGAGGCATTCGTATTTGCAATCTGGGAATGCACCTCACACCCGGCAGACGACTGCGCGTCTGAACGGCCCGTCGCCACCACCTAACAGAACTCAGCCAATCAAATCTACCTCGCCGCCGGTAACGAAGTCGTTGATTCCAATCCAAAAGTCCACCACCAGGCCAAATATCCTTAGAAACGCGGACAGCAAGGTCTTCGTGAATAAAAGCAAAGTAGAAGACAACCAAATGCGATTGCCCGTAACTAGTGCCAAATCTGTTCAGTCGATAGGCAACAAGGCTGTTCACATACCCGGATTACCGTCTAGCTTGACCATCGAAAGGATTGGAAGTGACTCTATCGTGTGCATCTCTTGTGAAAATCCAGGTAAAAATATGACATAAATCTTTAAAATATTGTCAGTTTTATTAAAAAGCTCTACGAATATATAACATGCATACATGTTTAATGCATACGCATGAATTGTCATTTTATAGGTTCGTTGACAGTGTGCAGAAATTGCTCAAGTAGCTATCACGTCTCGTGTCACACTCGACCGGCGCCTCCATCCAGAACCTGTCCAAAATGCGCTTCGGCAATGGATGACGAAGAGGACATCGAAAAGGATGAAGAAGCGGAGATCAAGGGGCAAGCGGAAGACGAGAGCAAATTGCTACGTTACAAAAAGGACGAAAAATTCGGTAAATCGTCCTCGGTTTCTTGAAAGAAGAAATCCTCCTTCAATAGCGCTAAGCGTGTGATTGACAAAAAAGTTCTTGTTCCTACAACTCTAGTTGTGAAACGTTCGCGGTAGACTTATAACATTTTGGTGCGGCAGCAAGTCGGCCGGGAATTATTGATTTTCTGATTACAATGGCAATTAATTGCCGGCAGAAAACCGGCAATTCTTTTTGCTGCCTTCTCATTTAGCGAATTGTAGAGTAACGGCGAGAGGTGCATTTACGATGAACGTTGGTCGAGATAAAATCAATGAAGGACCGGTAAATCGGCGCAAGCACATTATTTTAAATAGGCACAGGAATTTGTATAACATGAGTCCATAACTTCTAGATTTAACATACAACGAGGTATCGCAGCGTTGCCGCAGACTTAATTGAGCGTAAGCACGCACGCACTGAATAAACGAGAGAGGCAACCTGCCGGAAGAAGTGTCCGCGTGTGAGAGTCCGGCTTCTCGATTACGGCCGAAGAATTTGCAATTAAGAAGAACTTTTTGGTCGATCGTCCACGATAGGGCACAAAAAAACAACTTGTGTATTGAACGCAAAATATCTTGCAGAGGAAAAAGAGAGAGAAAGATATGAGCTGCGCGAGCGAAACTCGGATCTGAGATTGCAGGTTTACGAGTTGGAAAAACGCTCACAACTACTCGGCCAGTCACTCCAGGTTCGTCCTGTGGCCTGCATAGAGAACAAATTATATAAAGTTCACTTTTATTTGGAATGCTTTTGAGTTGATCGAATATTTGTAAATTGCGAACGATTTCCGTCCTTTTGTTTTTTCATCCAAAAGAACCTGCAAGATCTCTGCGTTTTTAGTTATATTTTTTTTTTCCGTTTACGTGACATTTTCTTATGGAGACAAGTCGATTCTATTATCCATAATATTCCTGTAAAATGAAAGATGATCTCTTATATTTTTATGTGTAATATACATGCACAATAATGTTTCATAATACGTTTCTTAAACGCAATCATTTGATTCAACTTAAGAATCGACTTAAGTCTTAGATATTTTTATCTATTGATCATTCTTTCAACGTTTATGAATACAGCTTTATTTGTTCAATCATTTTATTTCTTTGCGCTTTAATGATCTCTAGATGTGGTTTGCTCACTGCCTTGAATAAGAATATTTTAGAGCGCCTGATTGTTCAAATATAATTTCCTCTTTGTCATTAATATTATTGACAATAGACGGGAATCTTATGTAATATCTAGATTTGTTTGCCGATCATGCTGAAATATCATATTCAAATTTTATTCGACTGTCATATGTATATATGTTATTGTATATAAAATATTGGATTCCGAAAATTTTATTAAAATGCTCTTAGAGTACTAGATGAATTTCTTTAAAGAGTCTCTGGAAATTTTCTATTCTATAGCCAATCACACGTTTGAAAAATTTATTATACAACAAAAGAAATAGTACTCTAAGAGCGATATTTTATATGTATCCAACGGCATGCGTGATATTTTTGTAATATCTTTTACTTAGTGATAATGTAGCCGTTTTATCGATATTCACCATATATTTCAATATTTATCTTGCCGAAAAAATTTTGAAAAGAAGAGAAAAGACGAGTCAATTGTATATACATGAATTAATCTTTTTGTGATTGCAATGTGCTATCGTTATATGACATAAAGAAAAATATTATTTTTTGTGTAGAATTTAAAAGTGCATCTCATGCATTTAAATTTTAATACATATGTAAATTAGTAGTCTTTACAAATCGACGACGATTCTAAGTCTAGGTTATGTGGTTTTTTTTTCAAACTAGATCGCAAGCAAATTAGAAATACACTATTAGTATACTGTTTCTATGTTAAAATCATGTAACACGCGTAATCTTAGTAATTTACTAGCTCGCATGCGATATAGATGGAAAAAACACACCATGTATGGTAAACCTTTTTTAATGCATGGCATAAATAATTTCTATTATTCAGCTCTTTTTTTCAGAGCGAATTTTTTCGGCAAGCAATTATAGTAGCTTTTCGTATATAATAAAAGTTGCTATAATAGTAGCCGTTCTGGATGGAAGCATATGCAAGTGCCCATATTAAATTTTTATGATCCATTTTGTAGATAGTTTAAAAAAAATCTTCTATTTATTTAAAAGTTAAAACGATTTTCAAGATAAATTTCAAATTTGAAGTGAATATCAAAAATGTAAAATATATACAAAAGTGTTCCACTGAGATAAGAGTTTTATCGTACGTGATACACATTTTATATTTAGATTTTTTTGAAAATGTTTTATTTTTCAAAATATTTTTGCACTGCGTTATTATTTTTAAAATTCAAAATTTTATAAAACTAAAAGATTGTTTAGTGATTGCGAAATCATATTTACATGTTGTACATGAAAACTACATGCCAGACAACTTTCTTTTCATCACAATTCGCCATTTATAACATGTATATTCAAAGATGAAATCCGAGAAGACATTTGCATATATTTCCTAATTTAGTAACAAAAGTTCACGCAACATCCAAAATGCTTTTCTCTGTAAAAAAAATTAAAAATGTTTTGTTTGTATGTCTTCTTTGCAATAGTTACAACAACGAATGCGTCAGGATTTATTGGGAAAACAAGAGAAGACTCAGAGGTCTATAAAGCGTCTGGTGGACTTTATAAAGTTGATACAGCTCAGAAAAAATGCATCCTCCCCAACGTCCTCGGCGTCAATCAGCTGCCTGCCTCAACCTTCCTCATCCCGATCGCCGCGAACAATATCTCCGCCACAAACGTCAACCAGTCAGAAGACGGCAAGTTCACCACGGCCCTCGATACCGAATACCGACAAGACACCATACATCACCGTCGCGTCATCAATCACCTCGCACGATCGAGCATCGCCTGTGTCCAAGAAGACCAGTCCCACGCCTACCAGTTGCCCGGTACCACCGTCCAGCCAGAAAAGCATCAATCATACCTCATCGTCCAGAAAATCACCGAGTCGACTGGAAGGTCCAATCAGTCTCCTGGCGGTGAAACCAAAGACCAAAACAGTTCCGCAGTTTTCAACTACCAATTGCCGACCAGTTGCAGCATTACCAGTCAGAACGCTCTCCAACCCATCATCACCCATTCCCTGTTCAACGATCATAACAACCGTAAGAAACAAACCAATTGTGCAGTCCCATTCCATCCAATCACCGTATCAAAATTGTCAAATTCTCTTCACTCCATCTCGAGCGACCATCAGCTGGACCGAGCGACCCTCAACGGCAGGAAGCCCTGGGCCAAATTCACACACGGCAAACTCTGTGTCAATCAGTCAGCAAGATCAGCCACAGAAATCTTATTGTCTTCTTGCGACGACGCCGAGAATAGCGGCAACGAGCAGCAACTGCCAAGATCAGCCGGATCAGCGGAAAAGGCAGCAGCAACGGCAACGAGTCGCAGTCGTGGCAAGCACCGATCAAGAAACTTCATCCACTCATTGTTCCCAGGCCATAACAAGTCCCATATCATCGCCAGTCGTGCACGTGAGTCACGAGGCCCAAACAACCGGGACTGCCCGCTCCTGCGACAGCAGCTCTGCCGCGAGGAACACGAGCTGGAGCTGCACAAGCAGTCAGACGGCAAGCCAGCAGCAGTCCAGCTCCAGCGGCGCGCCCTCACGCGGTTCTTCGAGCACGTGAAATTGGAAGAAGCGCATATATCAGCGCCACTTGGAACAAAGCTAGCACACAAAGATGAGGTCGATGATGACGACAATTACGAGATTGCCGGGGAGGACAGCCCGCGTGACGAACAGTACGATGACGGTGGTGCCGTTGCTGAAGCTCCATTGTTAACATCGTGCGAAGATCTAGACGAGGACCAGGACTTTGCAGAATGGTTAGCCGACGACTCGGAAAACGCCTGTGATGACGACGACAATGTCGCGAGCAAGGATCCTGTCCGTCGTCTTTCGATAACTCTACGGCATTCGGAGGAGCGCGAGGACGATCGACTGACGACAACAACAGCAGCGGCGGCACTGCGCATTGCACAAAGCAATCTTTCGGAGCTTCGTAACGAGGTCTCAGTTCCTGACGATAAGGCTGACACCGAGAGACAAGACTTACCCAGTGGTGGGCGGTTGAGAAGCAGAAGCAATAGTAATAGCAGCACCATCAGTAACAGCAACAGCAGCAGCAGCAGCAGTAGCAGCAGCAGCAGTGGCCACAGTGACACCCCAGAGCAAGCGATGAACGTGAATGATCTCTCGGACAATTTTAATATTCTGGCTAAGATGGGCTTCGTTTCTCCGGGGGAAAGGAACGAGGAGCTGGAGCAAGCCGACGATGAATCGGCGACAGCAAGTGAGGCTGACGCCGCCACTGGTTAGACCTAGTTAGATTAATTGTATTGACGTGTTAAGGCTCCCGGTTCTATGTTGAATTACGAGCACGATTCGGCAGAAACCACATGCGAATTTTTTTTCTTGTACTCTATGAAATAAATTAATTTTTTCATTGCCACGTTTAGTAGAAATGGCAAAATGCCTTAAAAACTCCTTTTTATTGTTGTATATTAAGTATACACGTACAGATGAGTCTGCATGTGTATCCTACATCTTTAAAGAAAATGAAATTTTTTCATCAAGATTTAGTAATCCACAGATGAAAAAAATATTTTTTTTTATAAAATAAATTGATAATTATGTTTATATATTACTAATTTATATACCATTGAACATTGACGGTACAAGAAGGAAAAATAAATAATTTAATTCAAATTGCAAGGAAAAAACACGAGCCTTAACATTGTCAATCGTGCTCACCGTTAATCCTAATTGCGCTCGAAAACCCGTGGTCTCTCGACGACGCGTTTTCTCGGTGAAAAAAAAAACGGTACGCATTCAACTGTCAAATCACAGCAATTATATAAGTATACGATCGCGTTGTAATTAGAGATATTTTAACAATAATAGTTCAGCGACATCCTGGAAGTTTTTACGCAGAATGTCAGCAATGACGCGCCGCATCTCTCAGTTATTTGCGGCCTACGACGTAGATGTTCGCATGAAGACGTTGTTACAATCATATTAATCATTTTACTTCACGAATTGTTTGGAACTCGCACGATTATTTACGTGCAATCGAAGTGTTAGAATAGATCGTCTGAAAAATCGGACGCGCTTCCTTTCTTAAAGCTGATTTTTATCGTTTCTCGTGTAGATTGTTTCTTTTTTTAAACTTCCGAAGAGGAAAACGCATTATTGCGAGGTATTCCTTTTGTAACGGAATTTATATATCCATGTATGTATACAGAAGGGTGCGTCCGAAGTCGCGGGAACAACCGGAAAAGGAAATCACTAGTTTTATTCGCGTCAATGTTTGTACACATTGTGTGGCGTTAGAATTCGATTCGGTTTCTCTCGCTTCGACAGTCTCGTCTTATCCGAGCTGTTGGTCCTTACGATGACAAGACGAATAGCAATAGAGATACGATTCTTTATAGTCACGAATGGAAATTGAGTGATCCATGATGAATCTAGGCCGGATCGAGTGAATTTTCCAAGTCGATTCTCCCGGAAACGGGTTTTGTTTCTGCATCCCTGACTCGCTTCTGAGAGATCCTTCATTCGGTTGTGCGTCACGATCTTTGAAAGAGCCTCGTATATCCTCGACGACTATAAGAGATAAACCGAGCACATATCCGCGAGACATCGTGCGATTAAAGAGAGAGAGAGAGAGAAAGAGGTAGATAGAGAGGGAAGGACACGGGAGGAAGCCTAACTATTACGTAAATCAAGTCACATTACCATACTGCCTTAATAGTAATGTAAAAAGTGGTACTTTATAAAAACCGGCAATCTGTGCTGTACCCCGGTGAAAAAAAATGCGGATCGCGGACGCGATTACAATTGACAGCCGGCGATCGGAGAACGAGAGCAATCACAGTGGAGTAATACGATTAATCAAATTCTCGTTACCATAATCGAAAGCGTTTAGATATTAAGGGTCATCGTTTGTAAGTTCCGTAAAGCGGCGAGCGATAAAACCGATCGTCCTATTTCTCACGAAAGTTATATCCTTGCCGAAGGTAGTTTATGAAGAGAAGGAGAAAGAGTTGTGTGTTTGTGTATGTGCGTGTGTGTGTGTGTATGCGTGGTGTGTGTACGTATGCGTGTATTCATAAGCAGTTACGATGTTTCGTCGAGCTTCGACGGTATTTGACGTTTCGTTGATTTTAATTTGTTTATAATTGTTTTTCGTCCAGATGGAGAACTGTGATCTCTTGCGGCATCTCGCTTGCAAAGAGGGACCGAGATGGGTGATTATTCGAAAGTTACAATTACTTTTTGCGAGAAACGTCGACGGTTATTAGTATTATTTAGTTTCTTTCGTCCCCGAGATTTAGTTACGCGAGCCAATTTATTCGTCTTATTTATTTCGAGTTAACGTATTAGTATTCGCCGGCACACGTTAACGCGCCGGCTCTTGCCCGTCATTTACACCTATAATATATAAAAGAAGACGCGAAAAAGAAAGAGGAGAAAAAGAAAATTGTTATACACAGCGTATAGGCAACGAGATAATGAGAGATTCGTATTTTTTATGAAATAAAGACAACTTAAGCGGAGCACGATGGGAAGATGTTTCAGTCTGCGGAGACCCTCGACCTACGGGACCTACCCCACAACCGAGAAGTTCCTCCAAACGCTTCGTGCATAAATCACGCGTCGCGCGTTCGTCTCGTTCGCTTTTCGCGGATTTTCGAAGCGCGCCCGGCGTACACGCGCGGCGGCGTTTCCGTCGAAACGCGAATGGGTTTCCGCTGGAAAAAAAAAATATAAATGACTAAACTGCGGCGACGCGAGGGGGCGGGAGCGGTGGAGTTACCGACTTGGACAAACAATCGGCTAATGACATGTAAATATGGCGGAGCTAATCAAGCGGCTGTGCCAACAGGCCACGGGAAGAGACGCCGCGACCCGCTTCGCTCGCTCGCTCGCTCGCTCGTAACGTACACAGGGTTGAAAGGGAGGAGGGTGTCCGATATACCCCGATGTATTTGCGAGCCCGACCTGCGCACATGCGTCGCGCGCTGTAGCAACGCGCGCGTACATATTTAATGGTTGCACGTTAATTGCGCTCTGTTTGCCCATTCCCCATTCTACGCTCCATCTACACGTCCACCCACATTCTCTTCACCCTTTCCGTGCCGCAATTCTCCTTTGTTAGCGTGCGCCCCGCGCCGCTGCCGCCGCCGCTACCGCCGCCGCGCGTTCGATTTTAATCAATTCACCTCGGGCACCTACTACAGCTGGTTCACGCTCGAGATCCCACGGAAACCTACTTTCGCGTGGCGCATCATCGGGTGAGCAGCCATTTCCGAGACAGCCGCGTTTACGTTACGCGTTACGGTAACGCGGATTTTCCACGTTTTACCGGTTCGGCTCAAACTTCGCGTAATCGCGAGAGGGGGGAGGGACGTGACAGATTATTTTCGGCGGGAGAAAGAAACTGAGAAACTGTCATGAAAAAATACGCACAGAAAGAACAATTTTACCGAAGTATGTATATGTAAAAATTAGATCAGATTTCATCAGATACAGATTTGAAAATAATTATGTCGTGGATCATTGAAAATATCTAAATAATTATATTAGACACGCGAGCTGGTTGGTAGGATGTCGAAATCTTTTACTGCATCATCGTCATGTTTGAGCGCTCCACATAATTATCTTGATGGTCCAACAAAATTGTTTTCAGATCTATAGCTGGCCTAATTTTTCACATACTTCAGCAAAACCGTTCTATCCGCGCGAATATGACAGACATAAGCTCGAAATAAGTGTGCATTTCAACGAGAAACGTCTCTCTCGTTCACCGTTTACGAGCTTTTTCAATTTATGGACTTTCCTCTCCGTGCATGTTTGGATCCTTTACGATCCGAATTATCGAATTTCAAGCCAAAATCGAGCGATCCGCTCGATTTAAGCTAAGTAACTCTGAGATCTGCCTGATCAATCTTTCTTTTGTTGAAGGATTTTATAAAGAAATTCTGAAATGTATAGCCCATGCCCCAATTGTAAACGTTCGCGAATCCGTGCCACGTCGAGTTCGCGGCGGCACGGAAAAACGTAGAGGCTAACACATTATTGTTCAAAGTTCTTTAATTATCTCGCTTTGTGCCGTAAAAGGGTTGAATAAGGAAGGTGCAGCACTTTTCTGTCAATAGAAAGAGAAAGAGTAAGAGAGAGAGAGAGAGAGAGAACGGGAGCGGGGTCTCTCTAAATACACTTTTTACGTCAGTTTTCTTTCTCTCTCTCTTTCTCCTTTTCTCGCCAAGGCGCGCTTGCTTTATGAAACGAGCGTTTCTAATTAGAAAATTCTTTCGAGTATATTTTCCGTTTCTCCCTTCTCTTCGTACTGGAAGAGAAAAGAAGAAATGAAGTCATCGAGCTGCCCATGTATATTTTATATACAGTCAGTCCATGGTCATATTATTAGACGCACGATTTTTCTTTAATAGATTCATCTTAAGTGGCTGAAAATGACAACCATTTTTATTTTTACGTATCTAAAATAGGATTCTCTTTTTTCTCTTTTTATTTAGACATTCTCAATTAATAAAAAAAAACAGTTGTCATCAAATATTTTGTTAAGAACTATTAGTGGCTATTAATAGAATCTTGATTCTAATAATAATTTTTAATAATTTAATTAGATTTATATCTAGCTAAATTTTTAAATACAACCAAATTTATTTCCGTGTACATACTTGCTGGAAAATTATTTTAAGATTATGATTGTTTCGTAGAATGACCTTTCAAGAGTTTCCTGTATCGAGGTTTATCGAGCAGAAAACGTTGCATCATCCGGTAAGTTGACCGAGATAATCGAAAAATATTTTCTAGATTACTTTCGGATCGACATTGAGTGGGAAAATTTGTCTTCTGGAAACTGTTAGAAAACAAGATCCCTCTTTTTTTTAGACTGTCGGACGCGACTACGAAATACAATTGATTGTGAGAAAAAAGGCGTGATTCTTGTAAGGCGCCTTCCACGTGTATTTCGATATGACTTTCAATCACGTAAAAAGGCACGCGGATGGACCTCGCGACTCTTCAGACTTTACAGAGGGATGAACGCGGAGATTGCTTTCGCGGAAGGAGGCGATCGCGAAAGTTCGGACGCGGGCGCGCGATTGAATTTCCCCGTCGCTTCTTCTTTCCTCGTTAGAGATCGCGCGCTCGTTACGCGCCGGGATCCCGACGTTAATTGTCCGTTAAGCGGGTCGGAGCGCGCGTCGTTGTTCCGCGGGAGCCCGCATCGGGGTTGACGAGCGTTCTCCCCCTCGGATCGAGAGGCGCTCGCCGAGAGACAAACGAACACCGTGCACAGGACGGGCGGGGAGGGACGAAAGGGGCGAGAGAGAGAGAGAAAGAGAGGGACGGGAGAGAAAGGAGGTTCCAAAGAAATTTTAATCAAGCCGCTCTGCGTGTGTAGGTGGATGCGTTCGCATGTTTGCGTGAGCGTTTGCGCGCGCGCCTCCAGTTCCGCGGTAAATTACACATACGGGGGTTCCATTACCGGACCTCGTTACTTCGGAATCGAAAGCCTCGGCGTCTCTCCCGGCCAACGCGGGTGCTTTCCCCGAGCCACGAGGAATCGATATCCTTCCGATAGCGCGGACTATCGGGCGCCCGTTGAGCGAACGCTCGTCGAGGAGACGCGAGAGCGCGAAAGTCACGTCGAGGAACGGAAGGGGCGAATGTCGTTTTTCAAAAACGCGTGAAAACCACGCGTGAGGATTGAACGAACGATTATATAGAAAATTTAAAGAGTAAGAGACTTGCTTAAATACCGCGGCCACGCTTTCCTACGAATCCGGTCTCGAAATTATTTAGCGGATTTAATAGGTGCGGCGGCGCGAAGTAACTCCGCTCGCCCCGGGAGAGAGAGAGAGAGAGAGAGAGAGAGAGAGAGAGAGAGAGCCCGCAGAATTCGTCCCGGGGAAGAAGGGCGTACCGGCCGTAACGGGAGAAAACGAAGGCGACGACAGCTCCCTACATCCTTTACAATCCTTTAACGATGACACATTACTTCCGAGCCTTCCCGATGGTCGCAATTCCGGCTACGTTACTGTCACTTAGCGCGAGCGGAGTCGCGAATCTGTCTCGAAGGAGACCGGCGGGTAATCTTCTCTCGAGATTCGCCCCGAAAGGCGAGGTCTCGCGCGATACGGAAGGCTCGATATGTATATATATTTGCACCTTTTTTCTCTTTTACGTTCAAATAATTTCAAAAGAGCGGGACATTATAAAAAAGAATGTTATCAATTTATTTACTTATGTACATCGGGATATTCTCTCATTTAGTACAACACGGCAACTTATTATTTTTGAGAGAAATATTCCGCGTTCCACTTTCTCTTCACGTTGCGTCCGTCTTATTTATTTTAAAACTGAAAGATCTCGCGAAAATTGTCAAAAAATATCATTTAGACATCAGTCATCTTTTTTCATTCCGTCTCTCGGTCTCTCTCTCATATTTCCGCGATTTAATATCTTAATAATTCGACCTTATTACGTTATATATAAAACCTTTCAGTTGAGTAAAATCCGCTTTATTTGAAATAAGGTGAAATTGAATTAAATTGAAATTAGATTACGTGGATTAATTTGCGAGAGGCCGCTTTAATGGCTCGCGATTCGAAGAGGAATCTCTCGGATTCAACTCCACATTCACGGGAGAAGCCTCTCGTCGCTCGTTTTTCGAATTCACAACCCGCAATCCCGAAGTTCGCGCGTATATTGTTTTTTTTTTTAGCACACTTTCTGCCGGAGTCTCCTTCGGAGAGAGTGCTCGCTCGCACGCGGCCATTGCAAATTGCGAGGGATAGCCAAGGTGAGAGCATACCTGTAACGTCTCGAAGCCATTTGCGAAGTTTTTCTGAGGATAACCGCGTGGCTGGCGGGAACGCGGGGACGAGGGAGAGGGGGGGAGAGGAGAGGAGAGCAGGCAGAGGAGGATAAGAGCGACCGGGGGCCAGATGAGGGTGTGGGTGAAGATACGGTGGGTCCTTAGTGGTGTCGTCGTCCTTCGTCCTCGTCGTCGTCCCCGTCGACCCTCTCTCTCTCTCTCTCTCTCCCTCTCTCTCCCTCCACCGGTGCAGGCAAGCGCGACCGATGAGACGTCCGGAGGACCGGCGAACGGTTAGTTAAGGAACACGAGAAAGCACTTCTGGATCACTCTCGGCGCTCGCGTCCCCCCTCCGCGAGCGTCTCAGATACGGAGATACGATCGACTCTCTCTCTCTCTCTCTCTCTCTCTCTCTCTCTCTCTCTCTCTCTCTCTCTCTCTCTCTCTCTCTCTCTTTTCTTTCTTCCCATAGATATCATCTCGTGCATATAATACGTCAATTTTCACAAACCCTCGTCTAGCGCGCGTGCGCGCGCGCGCGATACGTGTCGCCCTGACACGCAAAAAATCTATCCTTATTAATCTTTAACACCGCGCGCGCGTCCGCGGAGCGCTTTAGGTTCGACAAAAAGTTCTCTCTCCGCTCTCTACCGTCCACCTCTCGCGCGGGAGAGACGAGCCGAAAACGTCATCAGATAAATAACCTTATTC